GGCTGCATGCAGGGGGCTGTGTGTGCATGCGGGGGGCTGTGAGTGCATGCGGGGGGCTGCATGCAGGGGGCTGTGTGTGCATGCGGGGGGCTGTGCGTGCCTGGGAGACAGAGCATGTGTGGGGCCAAGCATGCAGAAGGCTGCAGGGGACGGGCCACGCGTGCAGGGGTGACCTGTAGGTGCCCTTTTCTCCCCACTTTGATGGTTCCCATGTGGGCTGAGCCCCCTTCACAGACAAGGGAGCTGAGGCTTGGGGCCAGACCCGGGTCCACACAGCCTGTGCGCAGCAGACATGGCCTGCCCCGAGCCGACTTCCTCGGGAAGCAGGGCGGTGCGGGGGGTGGGGCTGGAACCTGGGGCGGAGGCTGTGAGCGCACTAACTCTGCCCGCCGCTACCCCCAGATCCCCAGCCTCAGCCACAGCGTCATCTCCCAGACGAGCTTTCGGGCCGAGTACAAGGCGACAGGGGGCCCGGCCGTGTTCCAGAAGCCGGTCAAGTTCCAGGTGGATGTTACCTACACAGAGGGGGGGGAGGCCCAGAAAGAGAACGGCATCTACTCTGTCACCTTCACGCTCTTGTCAGGTGAGCTCGTGGCTGGAGACAGGCCAAGGGGGGGCCCAGACCGCCCTGCGTGGTGTGACCCCTGCTCTGCCCCCAGGCCCCAGCCGACGCTTCAAGAGAGTGGTAGAGACCATCCAGGCCCAGCTACTGAGCACGCACGACCAGCCATCCGTCCAGCAACTGTCAGGTGAGTGGGCGCGGCATGGCACCTCTGTGGCCGGCGTGGCTTGGACGGGGAGGGCGAGAGGACCTGGCCGCCGGCGGACCCCAGGCTGCCCATCCAGGGGTGTGAGGCTCAGCTGCTTGGGACTGAAAGGCGCCTCTTGTCCACTGTAGAGACGCCCCCGCCAGCGCCAGGACTGAGCTGGGGCACTGTGCTTAAGGGCCAGAAGGTGGCCACCAGCTACGAGAGTAGCCTCTGACGCTGGCAGGTAAGGTTCCGGCCCTGCCGCCGGGCGGGGAGGGTCAGTGGGCAGGGGCTCAGGCCCGAGAGGAGCCCAGCGCGGGCACCATGTCAGTGCCGGCTCCAGGCTTGCACAGGCTGGGCCGCAGGCCACCGGCTGAGCTGCCCAGGGTGCAGCCTGGCCTGGCCGGCGAGGACGGACCTCTGGTGAGCGGGGACTGGCTCCCTGCTGCAGGCACCCCACTCGTAGCAGCCCAGGGGCTTTGGGCCGACACCCATGCTGGCTCTAGCACCCTGACCCTTCACTGGACGCTGGGGGCCCAACCTTGGGCAGGACAGAGGGGGCACTTAAGGAAGGAGCTGCCGGGCCCAAGCTGTGGGATGCCCAGCCCTGGAAGTTGGGGCTGGTGCAGGGCAGCACCTGGGAGGAGAGTGCTGCACATGTGTGCACATGCGTGTGGGGTCACGTGTCAAGGGGCACCAGGCTGTCGGGCCTGAGGGCTGTGTGTGCACAATGTTAGTGAAGGCCAGAGAGCTGGAGGACAGGCACCTGTCTGTCCACACCAGTGTAGCCCTTGGTTCAGGGACACAGTACGGCGCCCAGGCCCAGTGCACTGAGCCTGCTGTCCAGGTCCCAGGAGGTGGCTTGTTGGGCCCCCACGGTGCTGCTGTATGGGGTCCTGGGGACCAGAGAGGGCCCCGCCCTGTCTACCCACGCTTCTGGCCATGCTCATTCCATCGTGTGCATCACCCACCCCCACACTTCATGTTCCCCATTACCCCATCAACAAGCCGGGACTGGGGCCTGCTGTCCTGGGAAGAGACTGGCAGGAAGGGGTGGGGAGGGATGCACTCAGGCGGGCTCAGGGGCAGCACTTCCCAGGGTAGAAAAGGTCCTTCAGTGTGGACACACACAGGCCAGCTGCCGCTGCCCGAGTGCCTACAGGGACCAGGGATGCCTCCCAGGCCGGGGCACTGCTGTCAGGCCCTTGGCAGACTCACAATGCCGTAAGGTCCCCGTCAGCTGGTCGGGCCCCTTCCGAGCCCAGAAAGAGCCAGGCAGCCCTGTCGGAAGCAAGAATGGGCAGGGACAGGGCTTGTCCAGGGAGGGCCCCCAGCGTGAGGCCCCTCTGCTCGGACCGGCTGTGGCCTCACTCCCAGACCCACCCACAGGGTATCTGTCCACCTGTGCATCAGCAAGAACCCTGGGTCCCGCTGTGACCGTGGACATGGCCCTGTCCCCAGAGCCCACCTTCCAGCTCTCTGCCTTCCCCAAAGCAGAGGAGGCCTCACTGGCCCTCAGCCTGGATTAGCCTTCACCATCTCCTGCAGGTGGCCCCTGGGCGCCTTCCCTGAGCTTCGAGATGTGGGAGCCCTTGCCAGGGAACGGCCAGCCCAGCCCCTCCTCACTGCCCACCAGCCGTTCCCACCGTGGCCCAGCTACCCAGAGATGGGAGGCCGAGAGGCCCCAAGGAGAAAGGCAGGAGCAGGGGAGGGGCCGTGTCCCTCCCTGCCCGGGTCCAGGCCCCACCCTGAGCAGGAGCCCCTGGAAAAGGGGTGCTGGGGTGAGTCACAGGGACCCTGAGCCAGGGATACAGGGGGAGCTCCCAGGTGAGGACACCACCAGGCAGACCCCAGCTCAGCCTGTGACTTGGGCCTATGGACAGGGCAGAGGGACCCAGGGCCAGGCCTTGTTCTGCCGACACCTTGTGCCAGACACCCCGCGCCCTCGAAGCCATTCTCACACTCTGCCCTCCTCTCTCTACCTGCGCCCAGACAGCACACATTGTATGGAAATGTTGACGGGGAGGCTTTCCAAGTGTGGTAAGGACCCCACGCCCACCACCTGCCCCCCGGCACCCACCCGCCACTCGCCCAACCCTGCCCCCTGGCACCCACCTGCCACTCGCCAACCCCTGCCCCCTGGCACCCACCCACCCCGCCTGCCAGGCTTGATGCTGGAGTATGCACATGCTCACAGGCCCCGGAGTCCGGGCAGGCCCCAGAGGGACCCCAAGGCTTGGAGAGGAAGGGTCCCTGCACCTTGAGGGCCCGTCTGTGGCCCTGGCTGGTCAGGGTGGGTGAGTCCTGGTTGTGTCCCCAGGGGGCGCTGGTGCCCCGGGAAGTTCCATCCCAGCTCACTGGTCAGGCAGAGGGGGTGCCCCATGGCGGTCTGGGAGGAAGTAAAGCTGAGGGGCCACCTGTTGGCACACCAGGCAGTGAGCAGAGTGCCAGCTGCCCCTCCTGGGCTGTCCCTCAGCTTCAGGAAGTTCCCTCTGGGACAGGGCCACCCCTGCTGCCGCCCCCGCCCCGCCTCCATGCTGCCTGTCCATCTGCCATCTCCGTCTGTGTGTGCCGGTCTCTGTCCCAAGTGCCCGCCTGGCCCCCCACTCCCGGGGACGGGGGGGGGGGAAGGCTGGCAGCCGTGCCCTCTGCCCTGGGCGGGGACGGGGGTGCCCGCTGCCCTGTGGCCCGTGGCTGGCCCTGGCTTGAACCTGCGTCAGGGCTTGGAGCAGCCAGGCTGTGGGGCTGGAGGGCAGCTGGTGCTGCGTGGGGCTGGCACGTGGCTGGGGGGACAGGGCCTTCAAGGCCTGCTGAGCACAGCCAGGGGTCTTGCCATCACCAGCGCAGTGAACTCGGAGGCCTAGGGACCCTGAGCTTCCTGCCGCACAGCCTGGGCCCCCGGGGGCCCCTGCCTGCCGCCCGCTGCCACCGCCGCGCGCCGTAGCCGCCACCTCCCGGGTCCTTCCCGAGACCCTGTTCATCTGTGTGTCTCTCTCTCCCTCCCTGCCTCTTCCTTTTCTCTTTTTCTCTTTTCTTTTTCTTTGTATTTTTGTCTTCCGTTCTGTGTACCCAGGCAGCCCATTGAGTAACTTCTTTGACGTAATTAAACAACTTTTTTCAGACGAGGAGAACGGGCAGGCGGCCCAGGCCTCCAGCGCGCCCGCCAAGCGCAGTGCCCCCGGCCCGGTCGGTGACTCGGCGACCGCTGGGCCCGGCCCCATGGGAGACGCCGAGTGCCCGCCGCGCAAGGACGCGGCCAGGACG